AGCCCCGGGCCTCGCTGATCATGGAATCATAGACTGCTTTGGGTTGGAAGGGACCTTGAAGGCCATCCAGTGCCACCCCCTGCCCTGGGCAGGGCCACCTCCCACCAGCCCAGGTTGCTCCAAGCCCCGTCCAACCTGGCCTTGAACACCTCCAGGGATGGGGCAGCCACAGCTTCTCTGAAAAAGCTGGAGCTTGAGCGTCTCAGAAAACCAGAAGAGAACTGGGGGGAATCAGTCCTGCTTAGAAAAATGGTTGGGCCCATGGAGAAGAGAGCTCAGGCTTTCTGTTTGCTGTGAGGACATCACGGCTGGGCCACTATCCCGTCCCCTTGCCCTGATTCACTCCGCAACGAGCCAGAGAGAGGAACCGGCCCTGGGTAAAACCATCAGTGCTTCCTCGGCCACGTCAAAGCATGGGGAGCCCCTTCCACCACAGGGTGACAGTGGTGGAAGACTCTGCCCCTGCCCAACTGTGAGCCCAGAGGGTCCAGAAAGCCCCTGTGGAGCCAACTCACCACAGGAGCCTGAGGGCCCGAATCCTGGAACTTGCTGCTCTCCTTGTGGAAGTTGTAGTTGGCCCCAGAGGCCTTGGCAACCTTCTCCATGATGAGCTCAGGCTCCACATCCTCATCCGCGCGAGCGTTGATGGTGACATGAGCCCCCTGAGCAGGGAGAAAGCCAGCACAGGAGTGAGAGGGTGACTCCAGAAGCCACCAAACCCACCACGTGGCTTTGATAGGTCCCGTTTACACTCCTGGAGCTCCCAAGGGAAGAAAAAGGGCTCAGGTGAAAAAAGGGAGGTCACCAGCCACTCTAAGACCACAGAATGGTGGGGGTTGGAAGGGACCTTGGGAGATCATCCAGTCCAACCCCCTGCCAAGGCAGGGTCACCCAGAGCAGGTTGCACAGGGTCACATCCAGGCAGGTTTTGAATCTCTCCAGAGAAGGAGACTCCCCCACCTCTCTGGGCAGCCTCTTCCAGTGCTCTGGCACCACCAAAGGAAAGAAGTTTTCCTCATGTTGAGACAGAATTCCCCGTGATCCAGTTTGTGCCCGTTGCCCCTTGTCCTGTCGCCGGGCACCACTGAGAAGAGTCTGGCCCCATCCCCTTCACCCCCACCCTTTAGATAGTGATAAGCACTGATGAGATCCCCTCTCAGTCTTCTCTTCTCCGGCTAAACAGACCCAGGGCTCTCAGTCTTTCCTCACAAGAGAGGTGCTCCAGTCCCTTGAACGTCTTCGTAGCCCTCTGCTGGACTCTCTCCAGTAGTTCCTTGTCTTTCTTCAACTGGGGAGCCCAGAACTGGACACAGTAGTCCAGCTGTGGCCTCACCAGAGCAGAGCAGAGGGGGAGGATGACCTCCCTCGA